ATATATATATATATATATATATGTATATATACATACATATATATATATATATATATATCTTATATCTATACAAACAAGTTTGGGCGATTGTGGTGGCGACACGTGTCCTTTTTTGACACTTCCGCTTGTTGACACGTGTCATGCTTTATTTGCATTTTGCCACTTGTTTTTGGAACTGACGAAATTATCCTCAATTGACTATACTTTTAGGGGCTTTTTTGTCAATTGGGTGTGCCAGCTTTTTTCTACTCCAGTTTAGTGTTATAGACGCTGGTGCAACTTGTAATTGACTGTAACGTCCTTCAAATGTCATACTTGTGAGGACACTATTGTAATTTACTCTATGATGTGATGGCCACTTTTCCACTATTTCCGCATACGCAACCGACTAAAGGCTGAAAGAGCTTGAAGAACTCGATTGTCCATTCTTTTATCCAATTTCAAACCCGTACTTGCGGAGCGGAGCTCTCCTCTCTCATTTACGCCACCTGAAGACCCAATCCTCTTGCATATTTTCCCTCCCGAAAAATACCTCTACTCGACGGCGGCGGCAAGGCAGTTTCAACTAAAATCTTGAGCTCACTTCAACCGCAAAAACCTCCGCCGCAGTGAAATCTATCGCGATCCACGGCGACAGTCTTCGTCGATCATCAGAACCAAAAGATTCGTGTCTGGAAGACAACGCGAACCAACCCAAGTTCAATTTCCTTTCTTGCGCAAAAAGAAGAGCAGAAAAAAGAAACATTGAATTTGAGGGAGAACTAAAACGAGAGAGAGAAGAAAAATGGATCCGAAATTGATAGAACAAGTCTTCGAGTGATTTAAAGCGGCATTTGTGAGGAAGGATTTTGATACTTGCACCAAACTTTAAAGAAGGCGACCATTCTTCTCATCTTTGTTCGCTCCGAATTTTTTCTCCGTTTGTTTTTTCTTTTTTCTCTGTCTACCCCACCCATATATTTTTTACAGATTGGAGGGTCACCCACGGAAAATAGCAACCTCCGACGAAGAATTTAGAAACTCGCTGCGAGCCGACCTGGTGAAATCTCTTCCTACGCAAAAGTTCCAAATTTAAATATCCCAAATTCTGATGCGTTTAAGAATTGTGTGAAGTCTTATGCTCTGATGTTCTTTGGTTATTTTCCTCTGTTTTGTTGGGAGTGGCTGTTTTACATTCGATTCTTGTTCTGCTATTTTACCCTTTCCTTCTGGCTTGGACTGTTGGCGGGCACTATATGGTTCACGCATTCCAAAAATTGTGTATGTTTCACCGGTTCTATTTTTATATGAATAATTCATATGATGAAAATGAAGAATAAATATATAATAACTGAAATCATTTATCAGTTGCATGAGGATAGTCAGAAATGGGGTTTTCTTATATTGTTGATTTTTAGCTATTGTGGGTTTATCTGATTCCTGATTTCTCAATTTGTGCGAAGGTCTTCGGTTTGCTGTGGACTTCCTTCTCCAAAAGAAAAAAACTTCTTCTGTGCTTTTTTGTGGCTGTTGTTGAGATCCAAAGAATAGGTTCTTGATTGCATCTCTCGCCGCATTTTGTGTGGTATACTGGTTTGTTCTTTGAGTGTGTGTTTGTGTGTGTTTTTAGGTGATGGTTTTTATGCGTGTGTTTTATTTTGTTTCTGGGGTGTCAATTTTCATTGACTTCTTTGTGTGTTCGGGTTGGTTGCAGTGAGGATGTCATCGGGTGCGCCTGTGCCGGTTGAGGGGGACGAGGCGTCTAAATCAACAGCCTCTGTTGCGGTGCATGAAGAGTCTAGGTTGGCTGCTTTACAGAGGTGGAGGGGAAAAAAAAGGTGCAGTCATGTCCAGGTGCATTTTCGGTGGTCTCGATTTTTTTTATCTTAATTTTGTTTTGTGTTTTCGGTGTGTGGATTTCAGTTGTTTAACTATTGTTGAAAGATTAAAATTTGGAACTGTTTGTGTGAACTTTGTTGCCCTTTTTTCACCGGTTCCTTAAGGTGTGGCTTGCTGTACAAGTGAGGAGGTGGAACTTCATAGTTTACCTTTGTTGTTGTCTGTTGTGTGCTCGCATAAGCTTGCAGGGAAGTTGCTTTGCAGAGGTGAGGTGATTAAAAAGCAAAGTTGTCGTCTTCGGAACATTACTGGCTGGGTAGTAAGCTTTTGAAGCTCTTTCCCAACATGCTGCCATCAACCTTCCAGGACAAGATGAAAGAACAAGTAAAATGCAGTTATAAGTTGATTAGGTTTTATGTGGGTGGAGTATATTGAGAAACTTTGTGTATCCTTGTAGTGTGCTTTAGACGTGTTCAAAGCAGCCAACCGTTCCACTTAATTCTTGTTATGAACTCTTATTGAAGTAACTTCTAGATAAACCATGTTTTCAAATATCAAGGTAGCTGTTACTGAGTGTCTTACTTAAAATGTTCTTTGTTTCCTAATTTTACAACTAGGATGCCAATATTATTGCATGCTTCTTCTCCATTTGTTTTTTGAAACATGTGTATTTTTCTCCATCTCTTCATTTCTTATATCTTCTAGCTCTCCCCAGTTGGCTTCTTATTTTACTGCAAGTGTCATTGTAGGAAGCATTAAACGAAGGTTGCACGCCAAAATAGAATATGCAAACTTTCTCCAAGAGACTGTCAAAGAAATGGCAAAAGAGGTGCAAAATTCACGTAGTGGAGAAACTAAGAAGACAGCTGAGGACCTTGATGAATTTCTGAATAAGGTCTGTACGATTTCAGTGTTATACGAGTTCATAAGAAGCGTAGCTTATATAAGAAGATTTGTTCAATACAGGTCAGAAGTGGTGCCCGTGTCGCAAACGAGGAAATTTTGGGATTTGCTAAGTTATTCGATTATGAACTCACAGTAGATAATATTAGCAGGTTTGTAATTTTGTGGTTGTGCTTTTATCAAGTTCATGAACTCACACTAGATAATATTAGCAGGTTTGTTATTTTGTGGTTGTGCTTTTATCAAGTTCCTTTTAATTGTAATACATTATCAATTTAGCATAATTATTTGATATGGTGTTTGAAAGTTATGTTATTAACAGACCACGACTTGTAAATACGTGCAAGTACATGGGTATCAGCTCTATTGGAACAGATGCTTATTTGCGTTATATGCTACGGAAGAGATTGCAGAGGTATGCCATTTCACATTCTGTGTGAAGGCGTGTATTAGTTTCCTTGAAAATGGTGGTTTCTGTTTATAAAGTGCAACTATTAGTTTGTTGGCGAATTAATATCACTGATACAACCCTATTGAAGATGATTTAAGGGAGGAAAGCAAGTATTGCGGATCTTTATTTTCATTGATTTGCTTAGAACTTGTTGATATTAAGTTGCTCAAGCAGGATGAAATTAATTATTTAAGAACATCTCTGATTTTTTTTTTCATTGAGAGCTATAATCTAACAGGTACACATAACAGTGATATTCCCGTGTTCCTCTAATTTTCACAATATAATCCATTATGTTTTGTTATAGAGATTTTATTTTTAACCTTATTGCATGTTTAATTGGGGTCGATTGTGTTCTTGTTTAAGGATTAAAAATGATGACAAATTGATTCAAGCTGAGGGCGTGGAATCTCGATCAGAAGCTGAACTTCGTGAAGATTGTCGTGAGAGGGGCATGCTTGGAGTGCTTTCTGTGGATGAAATGCACCAACAGGTTTGTATGGGTGAATATTTATCCAATTGATAGTATCATATTTATTGGTTACGATATGAGATTCCAGTTGTACCTTTCAGTTTTTTCTGTGCTTATAATCCCCTCCCTCAGCTTGACCCTAAACTATTAAAACAGATGGAGTGTTTTGTGGCTATTGGCTTAATAGAGCTGCCATTATGGTCATCTTTTTTCTTTTATTCAATTCACCTTTTCTCTCTTGCATGATTTAATTGTTAATGATGACATTATTTGCAGCTGCGAGATTGGCTAGATTTAGCACTAAATCATTCTGTTCCGTCTTCACTTCTGATTCTTTCCAGGTTAACTTGATTTGTCCCCAACTTTTCCTTCTGTCTGATTTTGGAAAATTATCATAATTGATTCTTAGATTTTTTTCCTCTGAAGAATCGATTTCTGAAAGGCGGAGGAAATTGGACTTCCTTGAAATGTAGGAAGAACTTATCACGATTGATGAACATGTATTTTTGGTTGAAGAACTTGATTGTAACATGTATTTTAGGATGTACGTGTTTAGTGTTTAGTCAATGACGCTTAATACTTGTTTGAAAACGAGTGGCATATAATATCAATAATATGAGAAAGGGTCTTCAAAGTTTTAGCAACATGTATTTGTTGTTTGTTGTTTTGGAATTTTCGAATGATCGTTTACTGTTATGTTTGTGAGCTTGAGATTGATTGATTTGTTGTTTTTTGGGTTCGTGAAGTTTCCGCTTTCGCTACTCAAGACTGCACAAAGTCACCCTATGGTAACACTTCTTACCTCTAAGTATTCTTTCTGGTTACGTTTTAATTTTTCTGTTGTTTGTTTTCCTAATATTTAGCTCAGTTTTGGGAGATGATTTAGGACATTGCTTTAAACTTTTGAAATGGTTGCAAGACACCTACAGTTTTATTATTTTTATTTTTTTTATTTTTTTTAACACTATAGCTTGCTCATTAAAATCTTCTGTGCTTGCCACCTGATTTTTTGTGTGTGTGTGTTTTCTCTTGTTTTGTGACAGATGCAAGTTGTGACGGTCCATGCAACTAACAAGTATTTTGTGACGGCTTCTCCTGAAAAAACATGGTGTTTCTATGATCTTGCTTCTGTTTATGCCTCACTCAGGTCCAAACACTGTCTTTCATATGGATAGGAAACCAAGTTTTTTTTTTGCCATTTAGAGATTTTATCCCATTTTTGTAACTTGTAACCTTTTTTTTTTATTATGTCGTCTCAGGTTGAGGACAAATCAGGGTCTTCTGAGGGCTACACATCTGCAGCTTTTCATCTTGATGGCCTTATCCTTGGAACGGGTACCTCTGGTTCTCTTGTTAAGTTTTGGGATGTCAAAACTCAGGTGCATATTGTTTTGTTCTTTTTCCTTTAACTGCTAATATCCCCTCTCTTTTAAAGTTTTCGATTAACCTGATATTCTATTTGGCTATTGGCAATGAACAGCAAAATGTTGCTAGATTTGACGGGCATGTTGTGTAACACCCCGAGTTTTATTAATAAAGGAAAATACTAGCTTTTAATTATAAGCTAGCCTTTGTTAATAAATATTCATATTCATGTTCAAGCCTAAGTTATTCAGTCAGTTAAATTCCAAGTTCGACGTTAAGTCAAAAAAAAAATATATCAGGGTAATTGTATTTATTAACCAAGTCAATGATAGTAATTAATCTCAGTCCGTTTATATAAATAAATGGACATCAGCGACTTGGGATTAATTATTCTAATGGTGACATATTAATCGAATTGAAAAAATATTTGGTTAATCGTCAAAATCGAGTTCAAACCAGTTATTGAATTTCAGTTAAAGTTCGACTATTAGTCGATAAGATATTTGGTCTAATTATTTCAATAACTGAATAAGTTTTCAGATTTAATTTTAATTCATTTATATAATGAATGAGTTTAGAATTAATAAAGATTAAGTCGAGGTAATATTCGAATTAAGTTTGAAGTCAAGTTTCGACCGAATTTATGTAAGTTCGGTCAATATTTAATTATACGTATACTTAGAAAAATATTCTAAGTATTTAAGTATATATATGTATTAATGCAAGTAATGTTCATATGCTTGTTCCATGTTAATATATATATTTAAGTACCATGATTAATGATCAAATAATTAATCCCTATTCATTTAGCACGCCAATTACCGTAAGTAAGGATATGGGTCATTTATTTATATTTTAATAATTTGGACACATGGCTGCTTGATAACTTATGTAGGTGATGACTAAGTAATTGTAGCATGACAAGGCTCCTTTAAGCACCACCAAGGCTCTATTGCACGGCACATGGTGCAAGCTCATTGGCCATAGTTTTTTTTATCAATTTTCATTTTACTTTACCGTCCATTACTTATATGGATTTAGTGGAAGAATTCTGAGGAAAACACCAAGTGATAAGTGAGAGATTACCATATATTAGCTATTATCAAAGTACTACTAAGAGGAAGGAGCTGCACGCACCCATGTCTTCAAGCTAATTAATGCAAGCCTCGTTTATTTAGTTGAGCAATTGAAAGGGTATAATCCTTATGACCCTCTTAAAATGTTTATATGATTATTGTTAGAAGGTTAAGCTCATATCATGTGGCTAGGTTTATGTTAAGTACCATGTTGTCCTCGGTTACGTCATTTAAAGTCTTTCGAGCCATTTTAAGTTCTATCCGACAACCTTGAGCTAGTTATGTAGATTTAGTCTCTATAAATCATGTTATGATCATGTAAGTGTTAGTTGACGGAGGTAAATACCGGACGGCCGAGAGAATCGGCCGATATAGGGACTGCGTACGGTGCGCACGCCACGACCCTTATGTTCA